GTATATAACAAACTCTACATTCTGAGTGGGAATGTTGGGGGGTGGTCTTATACACCGAGTCGCCTTATACACCGGCAAATACGGTAGTACTAGAGAATCATTCTCAAAAAATAATAATACTAATTAGAGAATAGAGTAACAAATGAACGGGGATAAATACTCACCAACAGTCCTGCCTGGGGGCTTCTCTCCTTCAAAAATATGAGATCAATCCCTTCTACATTTTTTCTCCTACCCCTTCTTCTCCTCATGGCAGCATCGTCCCTTCGTAGACTCCCATTGACAATCTGGCCTGTGACAGGATGAATTAATCCTGCCTGAAGGATACCAGACAAGTCCATGCCAAGAGAGCCCTGTAGGGCACTGACAGTCCCTAACTTAGGTACATTTGTGCTCAGGGAGAAAGGAGAACTATTTGCAGTTGATCCATCAGATATTCTTGAGAGGTCCATAGCTGCGTCCCGCCAGCCATTCAACACAATTGGAGGGTGGGGATGAGATGTAACCAACTGTTCAAGGCTCCGTTGCTTTGCATCTTTCTCCACCTCAAATTCATATGGTTGTCGTTGCTTGGGTTCTTCTTTGACAAATGTGGAAGACAAGAAACCTTCCTGTGATTAAAACCAGGATCAGGAACAAGGTCACAATTGTTATAATTTGTAATGACAGAGATTGTACAGAATGCTTAATATTCTGTAGTGATCTGCAGATTCAGTTGTAAAAAGACTGGTTAAGAACTACCCTGTTTCCCTAAAAATAAGACCTAACCTCTAAATAAGCCCTAGTATGATTTTCAGGATACTTGTAATGTAAGACTTACCCCAAAAATAAACCCCAGTTAAGTGAAACCCCACCCTCCACCATTGCGCAGCAACCAGAAGGCGATGATGACATGACTGCATTTGAATAAACATAGATTGTTGTATATGAAAAAAGAAAACATCCTCTGAAAATAAGCCCTAATGCATTTTTTGAGCAAAAATTAATATAAGATCCTGTCTTATTTTCAGGGAAACACAGTAGGAATGTTAACCTTTACCCCAGACTGACTAATATTTTCTCTCGTAAAGGTGCTAAGAGGACTGTTTCACAAAGTGGTAGCCTATCCCACAGCAATGGAATCTTATTCATAAAACAAATCTTCTCCAAAAGGAAGAGAATCAGTACATTCTCTACATTCATATTTAGAAACACTTATCTGGAGAGGAGGGGATTCAATCAAAGTATATCCTGTTACTTAAAGGACTTAGAAATAATAGCAGAAAAGCCAAAATTAGTTCTGCCATTAGTTCACAGTCCAAAATCAATCTGGCATTATTTGGGATCCTACAGAAGAATACTGGCAGTAATTGTAAGGACAGGACACACAATGATGTGGAAGCTAAGTATGAGCAGAAGACTGACAAGTGATGTGTGCAAGTTTTCACAGCAAAGGTCTATTTAAGCTCACCTTCTGGGCCTGTGTAGTTGTTGCTCCATTGTTGAAGCTGTTTTCAGAGGCTTCTGGCTCAGTGTAGCTGTTCTTATTGCCAGCATTGCTGACTAACACAGGAGTAGACATCATGCTTTGTATTTCAAATGGCTGGCTGGAAGAAGGCCACTTGCCCTTTAAGATAGCATGACAGATGTTGTCTATACGGTTAATGATCACTCGATCCTGCCAAAGAAGCAGACATACTTCACTAATTTGCATGTGTTGGCACTGTCTCACATTATAAATCTATTCAATTGGTTTAGTTTCAGAATTCCATCTACCAGAGATAAAGAAGGTGACTCTTTAATCAGTATGAATTTAGTACTGTGATTGCCATTCTGCATATTGGAAGGAGCATGTGACCTCAAGCCTATGTATGTAAGATACACACATTTAGTTACTTCAGTAGTACAGATGCTTCATACTATGTGTGTACCACCCATTGCTCTCTGTTAACTCTGTAGAAGCCTTGTGGCATAGTGGTTAAGCTGCACTAAAGATATGATATTTGGGGTAAATTTGTGGAATTTGTGTTAGTGAAAGGAAGGGGGAAAGCCTCTAAAGAATACTCAATACAATTTTGGAGAGGTAATCTGTAAAATAGAGTCCCGTGGGTATGGGGTGCACGTTAGACTTTAGTTTATAATAAACACTATTGTATTTTTTTGTATTTTTGTTGTTATGTATGTGTTTTTTGTGTGTATTTTTTCGTATAAAATAAAATTTAAAAAAATAATTTTAAAAAACTGTAGTAAAGATGCTGCTCACAATCTGAGTTCAATCCTAATAGGGTCAGGTAACTGAGGTTTGCTCAGCCTTTCATCCTTCTGAGGTTGGTAAATTGAGTACCCAGCTTGCGGGGGGGGGGGGGGGGAAATGTGTGGCCTGCATAACTAAACTGTAAACCCCCCAGAGAGAGCTTTAAGCACAACGGGAGTGTATATATACAGCACGATTTACTTATCTTTATTACTGTCTGAACCCATACAGATAAAGGAAGAAATCTAAAGACTATGTAGCCTATCTTGCCATCGTTAAATGCTTGCTCCTTCCTTTCTGTAGTAACTCAAAGCAGCAGAAGCTGTTTATATTAGATAGCATATGCAGGAATAAACTAAGAGTTGTTTCAACATCATTAATACTCCAGCAGTGTTATTAACTCCCCTCTGCACTTTGATTGATAATAACTGCAAACTGGAATACAGAAAAAATTCCACTGCAGAGCCTTAATAAGAGGAAAGGTGCAGCAAGGTAACAATGAGTTTAAGGCCTTCCAGTGGCTCTTATTGTTTCAACTGAAATCTTGTTCAGCCACTGATTCACATAGGGCAGCAACTGACAGAAATGAAAACAGCTCTTTCTCTTTGAAAGACAACCTCAAAAAGCAGCTTTAAAATTGCTAGTTCACAGAAAAATGCTTGGGATTCTACCAAGATTTAACAAAGGGAGCTAAAGCCCACTGGAATTACACTGACAAAAGTATTTTTCCATGTTACATGCTAAAGACACAAGATAATTATAAAGATTAATACCCATGTTTAAGAAAATATAAGACAGGAACAGAAAAATGGAAGTCAGAGAAGAATCATCAGCTAAAAAAAAATCCTCCCAGAGCTTCTTCTAAAATATTGCTAGACATGTTTTTCTTACAAAATAACATATATACCCTAGATGGCAATATATATATTCCAAGGAATCTAGAGATTCACTAAGACCCAAATGTTTCTTTAAAAAATGACCAAGTTCAATAGATCATAATCTCTACTGAGCATTGACCTGACAACCCTTATTCATGCATACTTAAGCTACCAAGCCACCTTAGGCCACTCTGAGAAAGAGTAGAGTGTCTTCTCCTGCAAAAGTTGAGCAATGGTAGGTGCCCGGACATCCTGAAGCTCATCAATCTCTCCAGGCACAGCAAATGTGGAGCTCTTACTTTCATCTTCTGAAGACTTCTCAAAACAATCTAGATAAAATGGAGAACAACACATGAGGTATAATGCTGAATCTCTCATCCTTTCAACTACTGTGGAGCACTGAGGATCCTCAAAGAATGATGTGACAGTGTGAGGACATCTAGGAGCTCATATTCATACTATAGAATTCTTCAGCAGCTCTCAATACACCAGAGAGACAATTTTAGTAATTTTAAAGACAAAGATATATGCATTATTGTGTGGAATACTTATGGATAGACGTTTGAACTCCAGGAGCTCTAATGATTTCTCAAAGCTCACAATTATGGATCCATCAAAGCATTCCTGAAAAGAATAGGGGAAAATATCTACTACTAATTTCTACAGCTATGTTCTAACCTGAATCTACACTTCAGATAATGTAGCTAGGAGTTAATTTTCACACTGAATCAATACATATTAAATTATGTAAATGAAACTTTTTATGGGCTGAAATCCTCTTGTGTAATTTTATGCTGCACCAGGAGAATGATAACATAGAAATATTGAATGTACTGAATTTAAATTAATTGAAAGCTACCTATCTCCTCTCTTCCCTGGTGAAGGCTTTGAGGCCTTAATCACCATAAAGTTGATCAGGTCCACAAGCAGTGAACTGGCTGTGATTTTTGGTTATTAAAGGCTCTTCCCCTATCCCAAGGTTCTCATAGGCCCTAGGGCACCTTGGAATTCAAAAGGGGGATATAGGCAGCTTTCAATTAATTTAAATCAAATGTTCCCATTGTTGGATGATTATGATGTCATCCAGCCTGCACAATAAACGACGCCAACAGAATTCTAGCCACTGAGTTATAATTTTTAAGGTTGCAGGCATACAGGCACAGCCTTCTGCACCTAACTGCCAGATAGCTCAGTGGTTTAGGTCCCTGGCTGCGTAGCTAGAGGCTAGGCATTCAATTCCCCACTGTGCCTTCTTGACAGGGGCTGAACTCGATGCATAGGGTCCTTTTCAGCTCTGCAGTTCTAAGATGATACTGATGATTTACTTCACTGTTACCAATATTTGTGTTATGGTAATTCTACCAATATATAAATATATGTAAAACGCAGTGATTTCATTTTTAATAACCCACACTGAGTAACTTTTTTCACCTTGGACTGCCCTACTGTAATGAAACATAATCTGTCATTAAATATACAAGAATACTTACTAACAGATATACTCATGATACTCTACCTTGATTTTGGCTGATTTCATTTCTCTTTTCTAGGTCTTGATTCTCACAGTCTTCCTCTTCTCTCTTTAATTCATTCTCACAGAGGGGCTGAGCAATACAACTGTTCGTCTTTTCCTCTGTGTCATCTCCCCAGGGGTCTGCCTCTATGCAAACTGAATGTGACTTTAGGAGCTCCATCTGAATTGCTGATGCTTGGTTTCGTGCAGAATGGTGACAGTGGTGGTGGTGGCAGGTCTGTATCTCCTGCAAGGCAGGAATGTGCTCTTCAATGCTCTCACATTCTTCCTGATCATCCTCCCCTGCTCCAAACTCACTATCACATTTCGATGCCGCATGTTCACCTGATGTTGACTCAGACAATTCTTTATTCCTCTCTTCCATGAATGTATTTAGAGTGGTAAGAATACATGAACCATGTTTCTGCTCCTCTTGCTCACTGGGTTTAGTTCTGACACTATCTGGGGTTTTAAAGCAGCCTCTCAGATCTTCCACATTGTCAGCAGCTGTGTCTAGATGATCCTCCTCCTCCTCTTCTTCTTCCTCTTCCTCCTCTTCTTCACTATGACTCTGACTCTGCATTGATTTCTCTTCTAAGCCCTTGTCATGCAACAGTCCCATGCATCTTTTCTCAGGGTCAACTTTGATGTCATACTTATGAAGACTGGGGCTGTATACTCCTATGTTTAGAATCCCTTCCATGCCACCTCTTTCGAATGGGACAGATCCTGGGCTAGCATACTGACTGTGCATGTGCTGAAGGGCATTACAGGGTTCCATAGTAAAATTGTTGGAGGGCTTGGTCTCTTTAACTGAAAGCTCCTGGGCTGCATTCTGATTCTCCACTGGATCACTGCCAAACTGTAAATGATCTAAGTAGGAGGACTCTCTCATGGTTTCAGCATCACAACTAGACAGATCTTCATCTCCATCGATTTTGCCTTCTGCCATTTTGGTAGTGTTGCTGCTAATATCAGTGCAGCTGGGGCTATCTCTGGCAAGAGAGCTGTGCTCGCTGTTGCAGGCCTTATCATCATACATCATGCACATCAGAGAGTCAGGCAAAGAGCTCTCATCATAGCTAAGGGGAATCATACCCCGGATTTTAAAGTTTTCACAGCTGCCATCCTGAGAAATGTTTTCTGCCTGAGAGAGACTGTTGCCTGAGCTCCCTAACTTGATGCAGTTCTCAGTTTCAGTCTCTGCAGATGTGTGCTTTCTTTCCACTTGATTGTACACAGGAGAGCAATATAGTTTAGGATTTGCCTGATGGTGGCAACATAAGTTTTCTGCACCAAGGACTCCTGTCCTTTTGTGCTGAGCATAGTTTCTATAAGCATCCAGAAATGACAACTGGGGATCATTCATGATATAATAGTCTGTGCGGTTCAGTCCGTGTTTAGCGGTACCAATTAGTAGATCCCGATCATGCTTACCACACTCCCACCACACAGGAAGGTATAAGCTGGGACGACAAAGTTTCAGCCTTTCATGTAGCTGTGGACACCTCAGCACCTGCTCACGGACTTTCCTCAGGAGCTCAATGCGGTACAATGTCCTTGCTGCACGCTCCTCTGTGATTGGTTCCACATAGATACTGGGATCTGCTGGGTCTATTTAAAAAAGAGAAAGATGGATAAATATCATAATAAGTGATACTGGGCTAAAATAGACTTTGGACTGGTGTACAGTGGTAGTTGAAGTATGACATGCGAAGACTAAACCCATTAGTGTCATTCACAGAGGCCACAAAGAAGAATTGGTTATTCTGTTTTTCCTGGTTCAGTGTCACAGAATGTTAAAAAAGGGATGAAAAGACTCTGGAAATTATAAATAGCTTTTCTCCATGAAATGACCTTGTGATCTTATGTGCATACAGGCTGTGAGCGCTGACACCATAATAGTTCTTGCTACCTGTACACAAAAGCAGAGGACTAATATATGCCGAAGTATCTGCTGCATGTTACTTGTAGACTAGCTATGCTATATAATTCTGACCTTAACCATATGGTGCAGTCTAAGAGATTAATAATATTCCTTTCAGTCTTCAGAGCTTTCATCTTAATCTAGAACTCAATCACTAGGAGCCTCATGGTGCAGTGGTTAAACTGCTGTGTTGCAGCCAAAACTGTGCTTACGACCCAGGGTTCAATCGCAGGTAGCCGTCTCAAGGCTGATTCAGCCTTCTATCCTTTTGAGGTTGGTAAAATGAGTACCCAGCTTGGGGGAGGGGGCAATGTGTATCTTGCATAAACTTGTAAATCGCCCAGAAAGTGCTTGAAATGCTATGGGGCAGTGTATAAGCAGCACACTTGCTTTTTCGCTTTTACTAGAATCCTACTGGGATTTAGGCCACTACAATTATAACCATGCAGCCAGAAATGTATGCAGCAACTCATTAATTGGTGGCAATTCACCACTGTGATTTGCTCAATTACACTTATGTTGGCATAGATCCCAAAACGATTCTGGCCATTGAAACAGACTGGGAGATTGCTAGGTCTGTACTTCCCTATATCTTAACAAAATCTTGCCCTGCTACTCAAACATCTGTGCTTTCTCCACTGATCTTAGAAGTCTCATCCCTTTCTTTTAAACCTGTAATTCTAGTTGCTGTATCACAAAATGCAATTACCATATTTTTCGCTCCGTAAGACACACTTTTTTACCCCCCAAAAGTGGGAGGGAGTGTATGCGTCTTATGGAGTGAATACTGTAAAAAATAGTTCAAAATCTCTTCAGCCACCCCCCGCCCAGAAGCCTCTCGCGATTCCACCACTGTGACAGAAGGCCTCCAAACCAGCACTAGAGGCTGCTCACTGTGGCAGCTGCATTGGACCTTGCAGCTCTGCCATCTGAGCTGCTGGCTTTCCAGGCTCTGCCTCTTGGAGCCTGCCTGAAAAGCCAGCAGGGCCGACAGGCCTATAGCAGCAAAATCAAATGGCTGAGGGGGAAAGAGATCAAAGTGATTCTAGAAAGACCAGGAGAAAGCACACACACAGTCCCCCACTACCACAAATTATGCAGTACAATAAGGACTGGCCGTATTCAGTAGCCAGAAAAGGAACCAGTACATACTGCAGCATTTTGGTGTCTATACTGCAAATTTAAAGCTCTGAATCATCCTTGCTCACCATCTTCTTTCCAGTGGGGCAAACGACAGACATTCCTGCACATTGCAACAAAACTGTAGAAATATTTTTCAAGGCTCTCATCAGTTTTCTTCTCCAAACGTGAAATGGATCTGAATTGAGTCCAGTCAAAAACTTTCTTCTCTGGATCATAAATTACCCCAAATGAAGAAACAGTACGATAGAAATCTGCTTGTTCTCTTCTGGTCCACCTGACAGATGCACAAGAATAGACATATGAAACATGCATATTTCCCCTTAATTTTCAGAATATCTGCAATTATGCTTTCATTCTGGTCAGCTAAATCTTGTTTTAATTTTCTAATTTGAAAACTGAATCTGGGTGAAATAGTTTAATACAATACTTAATCCGTATTGGAAGGTGGTTCGTAGGTCGAATCTGCATTTCCCATAGGAATGCATTGAAAACCATTTAATCCGTATCTGCTCTTTTCTGTCCATAGAAACTAATGGGAAGCTGCTATTCCACCTTCTGCCACTAGAGGGGGATATTGTTTTCTTTTTCCCCCTTAGGTTCAGGAAAGGAGGGGGAAGGCAGGGAACAGTTTGCAAAGCACTTTTGAAATCTTTTTTTCAACGAAGCCAATTTTATAGCATGTTTTAAAGCATGTTGTGCTGATTTTTTCAGCACAAAGACACACAGGCAGGCTTTTTAGGTGCTGAGCAAGCCTCACCAAGCCTCTTCAGAGCCAGCCGATCAGCTGATAGGCAGGGAGAGGAGAGGGCAGGAAGGGGGGGAAGCACAAAATGGCTGCCAGGCTCCCTTCTAGGTGTCGGCTTTTAGCTGTTTCCTGCTCTTTTTCCTGCTGTTTGGGGGCTACCAAGTCCTGGTAAGTGACTTTTTATTTTTTTTAAGTTTCTGACCTTTTTTCCCCTCCAGAAGCCTCTAAGGGGGGGAAGGGGGCACTATTTTTCCTGTTCGTAACTCGAGGGAAGTTCGTATGTCGAGTCCTTATTTCCCTATAGGGCGGGTTCGTAAGTTGAATTGTTCACAAGTAGGGTCGTTCGCAAGTCGAGACCCCACTGTACTAAAATTATAAGGCACAACATTCCCCAAATCAGACATAGTAGGCATCCTTCAGTCTCAAGAGACTATGATAACGTGCTCTGAATAGAGGTCTTGGAACAGCATCTAATGTGGCTGAGAAGGCCAATATGAAAGTGACAATCCCTTCCACACTGAAGACAAATACAGTCTGTCCACTTTCCAGCTCTGTGATCTTGCTGGTTTCAGGACTGCCTCCTTGCCTTAGCCTGCAACAAGTGTCTCTTCAAATTGGGAGAGACTATGCTGCACTGCCTGCCTCCAGGCTGAACGCTCGGATGTCATGGTTTCCCATCTATTGAGGTCCATTTCTAAGACCTTCAGATCCCGCTTGCAGATATCCTTGTATTCCAGCTGTGGGTCTCCACTTTCCCTGCACTAATTCTCCACATAGGAGATCTTTTGGAATCTGACTGTCAGCCATTCTCACAACATGCCCAAGCCAACGCAGACGTTGCTGTTTTAGTAATGTATATATGCCAACAATTCCAGCTCATTCCAGCACTACACTATTTGTCCTGCCAGGTGATGCCCAAAATGCGTTGGAGACAACGCATATGGAACGTGTTCAAGTTCCTCTCCTGCCGTGCACAAAGGGTTCAGGACTCACTACAGTACAGGAGTGTGCTCAGGACACAGGCTTTATAGACCTGTTTCTTGGTACATGCTGCCAGCTTTTTGTTAAGCCATACTCTCTTTGTGAGTCTAGAGAACATGGTAGCTGCTTTGCCAATGCGTTTATGCAGCTCAAGATCTGGAGAGAGTGTCAGAGATCATTGAGCCAAGGTCCCCAAATCAGAGTCAGTCAATATATACACTTCCAGTGAGCCAGTAGCTGGCCTCTTCCCATAGACATTAGAAAACCATTACCTCCTCACAATTACAGTGACCAGAAACAATTGCTTTTGTGTCAATGCCTTTTTAAGGCAGAAGAGGGCCAGCACCATTATTGGCACAGATACTATCCCATCATTACATATAAATTCTATTTTGTTCATCCATTTTTTCCTACAAAGGTATTTGTTTATAATAACTTCTGTTTATAAAATCTGATGGAATAAGATGTGAAAATTCTAAAAGTGTCTTCAATTCTTTACATATGTTGCATCCCAGTTTTACTATCCTCCAGGTTTTTGTGGCTGGATTCTATGTTTTGTTTGTTTGTTTTTTGCTTCTGGAGAAGGGCTTACAGGGGAAACAGCCATGTGACTATCAGTAGTCACCTGCCATCCCACACAAGGTCAGATTATCATGGCAACATTTCTGAGATAAATATTGTAGGGGACTGTGTGGCTCCCTACAAGTGTGGTGAATGGGGTACTATAGATAGCACTATCTATCCCCCTGTCTATCCCAAGGGAAAATATGGCAGGTTGAGAATACAGTAAGTTTCATGGCACTTAACAAGTAGCAGCACCCATACTTTCCCTGGATGCCATACCTGCTCTGGCATGGCATGCAGGGGAAAGGACTGCTGATTCTGCCTTGCATGACCAAGGCTCTTTGAGTGTCTTCCTCCACATAGCTGCCAAACAATCCTCATCCTTCCTTCTACCTTTATGGAGTTTAGAAGGTAATGGAAACTGTCATGTAACTGCTTGAATTGTTTAGCCCACTTTTCAACTTTAAAGTTGGGAGTAAGGCTGAACTCTTGCCATGCTTGCTATAGCAAAGTGCCATACTCATCATGGCAAGTGTAACAAATGTATGAATTGAAGAATGTGACTTTGGATTTCTAATAACAAGAGTAGTTTCTACAAGCTTGCAGTCAAGAAGATAATCACAGTAGGATGAGCCATCAACTCAGGTTTTCCCATCTATGATACACTGCACTTACAGTGCCTAAATAAACCCAGGCCTTCTGTCCATAGTCCACTGTCCTTTATTACCTTTTCTGCATTTCCTTATTTATAGGATCCATCTCACCGGCTCTTCTGAACATTTCTTCTTGCAGCCAATAACCATGGTTGCAAGGGCCCATAATCTCAGGCCTAGTAGGCAGTTCTTTACGGTTGCAGCGCTGATAGACAGTGACAAGACGCCGTAGCCTGGCTGTGAGGGCAGATGACACAGGCCAGGTGGATTTGTCTAGGTCGGAGCCATCCTGGGCTTCAAATATTAGCAAAGTTATTAATATTCAACACAATTCCTGCAAAAGTCTTTGCACACAGTTCTACTGATTCACTGACTGAAATCCAGTTGTGCAGTTACACGAATGGTGTAACATTTTACACACAAACTGCTGTAAATTAAGAAATTTCCTTAGATATTCCCTGTTGCACACAAAGTCGCACGACTCAATGTACAACAGACAAAGTCTATAGAGATTGCTTAACGGATGGCAATTCACATTTAAAAATTATGCTGTGTGCATAACTGCACAACAGAATTTTAGCTATTGCATACTACATTGCACATCACATTGCACTTCAAGAAGATATCACATCCATAATTTGTCAGCACTTGCTGTTTTATTTTAGAGTCCTTGTGGATAAACATACATTCAAATCTTTTGTTTTATTCTGCTCACCATTACTACTGCACCTAATATTTTTGAGCTGCTGTAGAAACTAAAGCCTTTTTACTATCTCCCAGCATGATAATAAATACATACTTACACCAACATCCAATTAAGCAAACAAGGTTTAACCTTAATTGTTAACAAGATCCCTACCATTATGATATCCAGCAGAACAGTTGCACCTGGCGTTTTGCCACATATAGAATTACTGTGCCACCAGATGAATGGCTGAGACTCAAGATGGACAAGAATTAAAAATGAATTGCAAAATTCATTAAAAAATCACTAATTTGTCAATTTGTATTCCTCAGAAGTGACACCCCCTATGAATATGGATCAATGAATTTTTAGCAATTTTTTAATTCATTGGATTATAAAATGCCCCCTACAGCACCTAGAGACACCAAAATTGTAGAGATGCTTCCCCTGACTCTCCTCTACAAGTCCTGCAAGGTTGGTGAGGTTTGTGCTTCAGGCATCTGAGTAATAAACCCACAAAGTGACCTCCCTGGAAAGTTCCCCCCGGCACACAGAGACACCAAAATTACGGAGAAGATTCTCTTGACTTTCCTCTACAATCCCTCCAAGTTTGGGTTAATTTCAGTGTGAGATCAGATAGCTTTATCAATCATATGTTCATATGGGTATCAAAGTATAAGTTGTTTCATTGTTTAAATATTTCATCTCTATTCATAGGATGAAAACAAATCACTGTTTTATTGAATCGCGTCTACCATCCTCAATATCTCCATTTTACTATCACATCTCACCTTTCCAGAGTTACATTTATTTATTCCTCCTCAATCATTTTAATACTTCATTCATACAAAGTGTAAAACTTTGGCATGGTAGCAATTTTCTAATACAAAAGGTTTCCCATCTCCATCTTAAAGGCTTCTCAAAGAGATCCCTAGGGAGCCTCAGAACCTGAAGTGGGCTTAGAAAATTTTAAATTAAATGAAACATTTCTGTTGCTGGATGAGGACCTGCACTAACAGAATTTCAGCCTGTTAGTTTTAGACCCTGATCCACATGAATATAACATCTTGTCAGGAGTAACAACTGCTGATAACTCAACTCCAAATCTATGAATCAGTCCTCCATGACCAATTTTCATATATTATGATTTTTTCCTGTGACTGTCCTTGTGCTATAGAACTTCTGTACTATAGGAGATCAAACAAAACTACCCTGTTTTTCTTTTTCAGCAGTTCCAATGTGCCTGAGATCTGATTACATTACAGTGGTGCCTCGCTTAACGAGCGCACCGTACAATGACGAAATCGCATAGCGATCCCTTTTTTGGGATTGCTAATGCGATCGCTCAACGACTTTTAGATAGGGCGAAACTCGCTTTGCGAAGATCGGTAAGCGTTTCGCTTACCGATCTTCGCAAAACGAAGCCCCGACGATCAGCTGTTCGGCGGACAAAATGGCCGCTGGAAGCCCCAAAATGGCCGCGCGCAGCGTTTTCGCGCCCTCCCCTCACTTAACGAGGGCGCGAAAATGGCTGCCGGCCATAGGAAACTTCGCTGAACGGTGAGTAAAGGAGCCTTTTGGAACGCATTAAACAATGTTTAATGCATTCCAATGGCTTTCCCTGTCCCGTTCAGCGATGTTTCGCTATAGCGAAGGTTAATCCGGAACGGATTAACCTCGCTATGCGAGGCACCACTGTATTTGGGTTTTATTATAAAATAATGGTTCAATATTTCAGCACATACAATTATTAATTTTTTACATGTTTTTACACACTTTTGAAGTGTTCAGAGAAAAGTGAGATAAAAACAGTTTAACAAAATATGGCATGTTCTCAAAGCTCGTGTGTCCAAATTTAGTTGCAAAGCACCTGAAACATTAAACACTATTGACATATTTTGAAAGCATAGTGGCATTTTAACTAAGTATCTTTTGCAATGTAAAATTTCAAAAAAACAGACTATATGCTCTATAAATTACTGTAAACTGTTATTCTAGCCAATAGCTTTAATAGCACCATATAACTTAAAACATCCACATGTACATCCTCACCTGCCACACTATCATTCTTCTTCTCAGTGATCTCATCACAACAATCTGAAGTCTCCTATGGAAAAAAGCCATTATCAACATAATTCACTTTAGAAATTGGCTTCTGGGGGGGGGATGAAAATGCATAATATCCTACAGCCATGCATGCCACACAATGCTCCACCTGTAGAAATAGTCCCTGTTCAGTGGCAGCTTTGTGTCTCTCAGTGGGAGGAGGTACACTGCCCCACACCAAATACTGCCGCTCACTGTCTTCCACCACCCTGCACATCCAATCACCCCTGTTCTCATTCCCTCCTCCTTTTCACTGGCTTCTTCCTGCCACCTTGAAGTCAAGTCCTTCTTTCCTAAAATAGACTGAGGAAGTAGAGAAGGCAAGGCAAAGGAAGAGAAAAAGATGTGTCACTACATGGGAACAACAGGGGAAGATGGAGACTGGCACTACCGCCAGCAGTCAAGCACAGCCATTGATGAGACTTACAATATACTTGTGCAAAGAGGTACTAGATACCTCACTGAACAAGTCCAGGAAAAGCTCAATCCTGTCTACAATGGATGGCTGCATGCATTAACTAAATCACCAACCCCAGTGCATCTCCAGGACCAAGTAGTGATTTGAACCAAGGTCACCTGAATCCTAATTTGACACTGTATCCGCTGACATTATTTCAAATCCAAATTTTGAGAAGACGTAATAAATCTACTGTGGTAATTATTTTCAGCAACATCAAAATTGGCAGCAAATGGTGTGAGAAATCAACAGTGCTTCAAGTCACACTTACCTCCTGTTTCTGCACCTCTTCTGCTTTGTCTGCACTGGTCTCTTCTTTATTCACATTCCCCCTAAAGTAAGATAATTCAACAGGATGAGTCTGTGGGAAGCTTCTTAAGGCAACATAATTCTGATAACATTCTCAATACATTAAGTTATGTGGCATATGCATAGGACAACATTCATTCAGTGCCCACCTTCTGTAAACTTAATACAAAGGGACAACTAACTTTCAAGCACTACAAATATGCTTTGTAGTCACTAGATGAAAACGTATGCATGTGTAGATTATACAAGTTTATAGAAAGTCTTGTTCAAGTGTATACTCTATATATTTTCTGTGAGCCAGGTCATATCATCTGCCATTTGACAATACAATAATAGAAAGCTAAGGTATTCTCAAAGGCTTTCATGGGCCGGATCCGACAGTTGTTGTAGGTTTTCCGGGCCGCAATCTTGAGGTTTTTCTTCCTAATGTTTTGCCAGTCTCTGTAGCCAGCATCTTCAGATGACAGGAGTCAGAACTCTGTCTGTGCCCCTGAACACAGAGTTCTGACTCCTGTCCTCTGAAGATGCCGGCCACAGAGACTGGCGAAACGTTAGGAAGGAAAACCTCGAAAACACGGCCAGACAGCCCTGAAAACCTACAACAACTAGAAACCTAATGCTTTTCAAATCACTGATGCTCTTCACTATTTCCACAGCATCTCCAACATCTAAGCTGTCACTACATACTGTGTTTCCCCAAAAATAAGACAGGGTCTTATATTATTTTTCAAAAAAACAAACAAACAAACAAACCCAACTCTCACACATTAGGGCTTATTTTCAGGGGATGTTTTATTTTTTTCATGTACAGTCATGTCATCATCTTCTGGTTGCTGCACAATGGTGGAGGGTGGGGTTTCACTTAACTAGCAGTTATTTTGGGGGTAGGGGTTATATTGCAAGCATTCTGAAAAATCATACTAGGGCTTATTTTCAAGTTAGGTCTTATTTTTGGGGAAACTGCATTTTCATGGAAACAGGGTAGAGTCTAACATGTAATGGTTGTTATGGGTTTTTCGGGCTCTTTGGCCATGTTCTGAAGGTTATTCTTCCTAACGTTTCGCCAGTCTCTGTGGC